CATCCATCTTCATCCATCTTCATCCATCTTCATCCTCCACTGACATGTCCAGGTCGACCGCGACCGCTGCTAAGGCTTTCGTAACAGAGTCGATCTGCAAGTTAAGAACCTCCGTTAGTATGTACTTCTGATCAGGTAAGAGAAACTGCACTCACATTTGCAGACTGAAAGATGTCGAAATGTTGGCCTTCGATCGAATAGCTCTTATCGATTAGTGAGCCCGCCCGCTCATTCCATCCAAGTGTCGGACTGTCTCTGAATTGATCGATTAAGCCCAAGGCCGGTTGGCTTTCACAAGCCACACACTGCTTAGCACACAACATGACTGTGGCTGGCCGCTGCTTCTGCCGCCATACGGGAGTACGCCAATCTTGCAACATGTTCACCGTTCGTAACATAGCTTTCTCCAACTGGTTTCTCGCCTGGTCTGGCCCATGTTCCGAGGTGGGAGAATCCAGATCGATGGCAAGTAAACCAAGGTAGGCAGGGAAAGGACTATCCACCATGATGACGCCGACCACTTCTGTTCTAGTGTCCCGGGCAAAAATCCATGCGACTTGAAGTGCTATCATGCCACCTAGCGACCAGCCTAGATGAAGGAGGTACTATTAGTCTAGTCCCATTTCGAGCTTCGTAGAGGGTATGTCTCATACCGCCGACCAGTATCCTGCCCTCTGGAATGATTTTTTTGATAGCAGCATAATACCGACGACTCATACTAGTGAGACTCTCATGCTTGTCGCTTCCAATTTGTGGATCTGCGATCGCATATACATCACGGCCAAGAGAACCGAGACCGTAATAGCTGGAGATAGTACCGCTGGCGTCATGGAATAGAACGAGAGGGATGGCATCTGACCCTGCCCGCCTTTTCTGAATTTGTCGAATCATGGTAGTGTGTAGCCGAGGGTAGCCTTTGCGGTCGCGAGAACGATGGGCAGAATACTGAGTCGAGAAGGTTCGACACGGGCGATGTTTAAGAGCCTGAGAGCTGATCGAAAATTTACTAGTGATCCTGCGAATGCAACAAGTAACGATCGGCAGTCAGAAGTCGAATTATGTCGTAAGCAAAAAAGCTAGGCCTCGTTATTTCAATCATAGCCGCCGATACAACCCAATTCACTACCGAAAAATTTGATTTAGATGGTACCGTTCTGTGTTCTACTAGCGATAGCAGAAGCGGTCATGTCGTACTAGCGATGAGGCCTTGCTCCGACGTCTCAATGACCGGCTGCGGTTGTGGCTGCGCACGGATCATATACCCAGGCAACATGATCCGTGCGCCACTAGAATAATTGATGGATTTCTCATCAAAACTTATTACGATGTCTTCCTCGCCTAGCAAGGTCCTAGCGCAAGGTTCTAATTCTTAGGCGGCGCTGTTTAAAAGAAACATCAGGGCCTTACGAATGTTATCGGAGCCGAGCTTCTTGCGGCCCTCAACTACGTTGTCTCCCTAAATAGAGCGGAAAGTTAAGCTAGCAAGCCTGATTCTCGAGCCTGGAATTCACAAAGCCGGCTAGACGGATTAACGTCGACCTGCACATCTGGCCTAGGACTTTGCATTTGCGATGAATATATCGTTACATTGACAGTGACGGCGACGTGGACCTAATAGATGGTATTAGGAGTGCTAAGACTGTAGAAGAAATTCTCGAAGCTGTAGAGAGCATAGTGCTGGCCCAGTCAAGCAAACAAAATGCGACTTCTATAGACCTTACTGAATCCTACTAGTTGCTAGATTCGTAGAGCGTTGATCAATTAGTAGCGGTCGAGTCTCGCAAATCGATTTTAGCAAAGCTGTCGGCTAACCTATATTCCCCTGTTAGTCCGCGAGTCTAGACGCATTGAGGATGTTGTGTCTATAGTCCCCGGTAAATCAAGGCCTGTCACGAGCAAGCTGCAAGAACAGGTTCTAAAGTCATCATAATAATCTGCAGTACATTGAAGTCGATAGATATTTCACTATGTTTTTATTTAGACCTCGTCGGAGTGTCAACAGTAAAAGTATGTTAGCATCGAAGCGTAATGCGTTACAGGTGATGAACGCGTCACCAACGGTGTCGTGGCGCCGATCAACACGAAGCCCGTAAGACTCCCAACAGGGAATCATTGACTCTGTAGTCACCAAATGTTGATGGACTGTTTATCTAATATCGACGACGGTCCGCACACGACATTGGAGCTAGATCCTCGAATACATAGCTCAATTAGATACTAATCGAATGGTGGGAAGCGCCAACGGTAGACCATGTCAATGTAAAATTGATTTGTGCGGACATCGCTCTAGTGCTCTGAAAAGCCGTTTCACGATTGGCCTCACTTGATTTGTTTACAAGATTTGTGCATAGCATGATCTGCACTTCTCGTAGTCGACGCACAGCCAACCCTGCGGGCTCAATCGCTAAGTCATTAGAGGCTCGGCGCTTACCCAGTTAGGAATATAAAGTTAGGCCCAAGGAGGCACATTGTACTTATGCCCGTTCTGCTCGCTATGACCTCTTGGTTAATCATCGGTTTCTAAGTATACCTGCGAGCCCGCTGTATCCTGCGTATGACTCCTGCTCTAAGGAATAATATACATCTAACACTGCTTACTGTCTTTAGATTACACGCTTCGTCTTAGCGGAGCCGTATTGTCCGCAGTACAGTCGCACCCAAGGCGTCTAATGAGATAAACTGCTTACATTCCATGTGATGCGTCATCTGGTCATCGCATCCCTTTGTGCCTTTCGCTAGGTACCGACGTCCATGTGCCTACCAGTCATTCAAAGCTGGTCTCTAAGGTATAATTAGAATTATAAGCTAGCGCCTCTTGCCTTCGTCTCCATGAGTGCTAAGAACGATGGTCAACACTCTCCCCTCCAGGGCCATCGATCCCTCAGACTTCAAGACTGGATTGAACTACGTCACTGCTAAGAAATGCTTGCAGAAAATGATCCTACAGATGCATGGGATTTGGAGTCAAATTCTTACCAGCTAGCCACGCAACGACCATACTTACTCGTGACATGAACATTCATGCTTTCTACTAGTCTAGGAGACCAAAAAGGTGATCATGTACGACATTTAGCGCACGATCCGCTTCCCGCTCTTCAATTACACAGCCGATGCTTATCTCACTAGCGCCCTGGCTAATCATTTCGATGTTAATACCATGCTCACCAAGAGTGCTGAAGAATCGTCCCGACATGCCAAGCATGCTGCGGAGTTGGCGGCCGACTAGCGATATAATCGCCAGATTAGGGACAAGATCCACATCGCCCCAGGCCTTGAGGCTGCTGATGGCGCGCTGCAAACTTGCGGACTGGATCCGAAGGTCGTCTTCGCCGTACAGAGCAAGAAGGGCGTGCTCTGAGTGGATAGCCATAGATATTTGGACCTCGGACGACGAGATGAGATCGACTGAAAGGCCGTTTTGGTCGAGGATAGAAAAGATGGAAGCAAGAAAGCCATGAGCACGTGTTCTTTTTTTGGAATGAACGTTGAGGACTGTGATTTGTGGTTTAACGGTAACGGCTGTAGGCTGTTGGGACTGATAGCGCGGGGCGGCTGACAGTGAACGGCTGCGGAATAGACTCGAGGATTCGACCGACATAATATCGCTCGGGTTGGGGTAGATGATTGTACCAGGTGAGCGAGTATTTACGACGTTCCTTATGCGAATTGGGATGTTTGCGCGAATAGCCTGCTCCATGGTAAAAGGGTGAACCACTTCTGATCCATAAAAAGTCAACTCGGCAGCTTCGGCTGGAGTCACAGTGCTGAGAAGCCGGGCCCCGGGGACCTTTCTTGGGTCGGCGGTGAATATTCCATCGACCTCCTTCCAAATCTGCAACTCCCGCGCGTTGAGCGCCACAGCCGTTAGGGCGGCGCACAGATCAGTATAGCCGCGGCCAATTTTCGCAAGTAGTCCTCCGGGGATCTTGCCGAAGAAGCCGGTGATAACGGGAACAACGCCATGGCCAAGCGTGTTGATCTTGGCACCAATGAGGTAAGCGATCTTGCGGTAGAATTCAGTGTCCAAGGTGATAGTCGAGCTAAAATCACCAATCTCGCTCAAATCCATGCAAACGGCGTTGGCACCCTTGGTCTGTAGGAGAGTAGTCATGTACAGACAACTTAGTTTTTCGCCCACGCTAACGATCATGTCCTTGGTCTGATCTGTGACCGCCTTGAGTAATCGAGCACTCTCCAGCATGCGGAGTAAGCGATTGCATTCCCGGTCTACGTGGGCGATATATCGCTCCAAGGCGCTGTCGTTTTTGATCGTTTCTTGGCCGATGGTAACGTGATCCAACCGAATTGCTTCGACATATTCGGCACAACTCCGCGAGTCGGCGACCAGCACATCTACAGCTGCACGGAGGAGGCGATTGGTGGTACCTTCGCTCTTAGTCTTCGTGCTCCTTGCCGAACAAACAACGGCGACACGGTGTTCTTCAAGGCCTGCCCTACTGTGTTCAGCATGTGAAGACTCAATGCCAATGTCCTACAGCAACATACAGAACAATGTCCTCTGCAATAGTTGTAGCGAACTTGCCGAGGCTGGTGCCTCCGAACTTTTGCACGATCCAGTGAGCGTTGGCCGGCTGGTGATTTCCTAGATTGCGCGATTTATTGACGATCTGACCCTTGATCCGAGTGGTAGCATGTTGTGTTGCAGACTTGGTCGCGCGCTCATAGCCGATGGTTGAGAATTCCGTACCGGCTCCCAAGAGCCCGAGTGGAACCATCTTTTGAAAGTGTGCGAGCCGTATTTCGTGTTTGTCTAAAGGTTGCAGGTCCGCCAATTCAGGCATTGTAGTGTGACAGTCTATGGAATTAGCGGCTATGCTTCGAGTAAGCATCCCGCAATCTGATTGATACCACCTGTAGTATTTGAAATTGACGACTCCCGGGGGGGGGGGGGGGGGGGGGGGGGGGGGGGGG